GGTTTTGGAGTTTTTCCTTGGTTTCAGTCCCCCCCTTGGGGTTTTTTTTTTGGGGTGGCAATATGTAGGCCCATAAATGGGGGGGGAACTTCCGGGGTTTCGGAGAAACGGGCTTTTTCCCGCCCACACTTGTTGGGGGTGGGGGGGAAAAATTTTCCAAAAAGGGGCAGTGGCCCATTTCCAAGCAGGGGGAAAGTAGTTGGCCCCCCCCTTTCCATTTTAAAAGTTTCCCCCCCGGTCCCAAAGGACAAACCCCCCCCCCCCCCCCGCATCACTCCCGACGACGCAAGGTCAATGGTCTAACTATGCAAAACTTAAGTACGCCCCCCCCATCCGCCCCCTCAATCGGCACCTAGGCTGAGTTCCTGCGAGGTCTGATGGTCGCCTACAAGGAGTGGGGCTACCAGCTGTACCCAGGGGTCGCCTTCGAGGACCTGGCCTGCCGGACGGAGAAGCTGGGCGGCAGGGCCCGCACCCGCAGCCTCTTGCGCGAGCTCCGGGACACGGAGCGGGACCGCGTGTTGGAGGCCAAGTACGGCCGAGAGGCCGTAGACGACGTCCACGCGCAGGAGGCAGCAAGGCTCGCCGCCAAGGAGAGCAAGACGGCGGCCGCCGAGGGGGACCGGGTCGAGGAGCGCGAGGACGAGGAACTCGCGGGTAGTCGGTACGCCATGGAGGTGGACGGAGACGGGGGCGACGAGGGAAAAAGCGACCGTCAGGTCGCCGCCGAAGGGTCGGCGGCGACCATGTCGGACCAGGTACGGCAACGCATCGAGGCGAACCGCCGGTTGGCGCTCGACCGACTGCGCTTGAAGAAACAAGAAGCGGCGGCGGCGGCGGCGTTGGTGGCAGAAAAGGAGAACGACGGGGGTGCTGCTGCCGTGCCCGCTGCGAACGACGGCAGCAGAGAAGTCGAGGATCCGGAGGAGGATCTGATGGACGTAGATGGCGGCGGCGGGCCGGGCGACAGCTTCGATGACGACGAAGCGGCGCTTGCGGACATGGAGGCAGAAGAAATGGCCGCCCGGCCGGTTGCTGCTGAGGCCTCACGGGGGAAGAACACCGTGGCGGAACCCGGGCCTGCTGCCGTTGTCACGTCCCCTCCTTCGACCTTGGCGGTGGAGAGTGAGGAGACTGCTGGTGCCTTGGACGAGGAACAGGCGTCGCCGGAGCGAACGATACGAGAAGACGAGGCAATGGAGGATGCCGGAAGCGGAGCTTCCTGTGCTAATACTGCTGCTGCCGTTGTTGCCGATGATGCCAACGACCCGGCTCCTGTTTCTGCCGCCGCTGATGGGGTTGCAAGAGGGGGGGCACGTGCAGCAGGCGCAGGGTGCGCCGGCAGCGTTGACGAAGCATCGGCAAAATGCGCTGTTGCTGCAGCAAGGAGTGGCGAGCCCGGTACTACCGCGGGAGAGGAGAGTGGCGGCGAGCTGCCTCCCGCTTCGGAGCCGAGCGCACCAGCCCCAGGCGTAGGCGGCGGGCGAGAGAGAGACGGTGCGAACGATGAAGCTGCCTCATTGGGAACGACGGCGGCGGCGTCGGCGGCAGGGGCTGATGGAATCACGGGGGGTGCTAAGTTAGATGATGCGGTTTTGGGCGGTGGTGATGGTGGTGGAGGTGCTCCAGAGCCTGTGGCGGCGAACGGAGACGAGGAGGGGGCGTCGTTCAGTAGTCCTGCCAAGTGCAGGGCGGCGGCGGCGGCGGCGGCGAGCGGTTTGCCGCTGTCGCCGCTCGGCAGCCTGTTCGCCGGTACTGATGTTTCTGCGGAGGGGGGGCTGGCGGTGGCGAGGGAGCCGCTAGGAGGACTCTTCTCGGACGAAAACGTCTAGGTTTCCATCCGATGTATGACCCGCAGCAGAAGTCAGCTGGTATTGTCCGCAGGCGTAGGAGTCGCTTCATCAACTGGAGCGGTGTGATGCTCTACTTTCCCCCCTATAGCGTAGGATACTTTCTACCGAAGTGATTTTTTCCTGCTGTGTTTACGATACTCATCCTGACACAGACCCACCGTTGTCGGAAGTCGCGACGTTGGGCACGTCCGCTCGTGTATTTTGGGGTAGCTTTGCACAGGGGCAGCCTCCGGTTGATGATGGGCTACTCGGGATCCCACAAGCAAAGAAGGTCGTTCTGCTTTGTTTTTTGCCAGGCGTCAAGCAAATGATATTGGATGGAGACCGTAGTTTTGGCCCTGTGCTCGTCTGAACTCGTGCTGTAGTAAGTAGTGTCTTCAGCTGCCATGTATGTACAGGGAGGGGAAGGCACGCGCGGAATATGTGTGCGAGGCCGAGGGACTTTGTAAACACCTCGGGTGCAAGATAATTAATCAACGATAATAGCGGTCGCATGCATGCATGGATGCACCCATCTTGGAGGCATGCCTCTTTGTGTTGTTGTTCTACGAATACTGCGCTGTAGTTTTTTCGTGCTGCTCTGCAGAATCACTCGCTTTCGTTTGCGGGATTTTTTTTTCGTCTCGCAAGTATCCCTCGAACCCAACAACCTCTTGTTTGTCCGGGACTCCTGTAGTTTGACTGCGTGCGCGGAAGAAAGTTGGTTGTGCATGCGAGGAAGAGAATCTCGCTCTGCTGCCACAGAGCTAATAGCTGCGTCGTGCACGCGCTTGCTATATATAGTCTTTCGCATCCAATATTATGTCGCTTGATTTTGATGGCGAAGAAAAGAGGACTGAGTGCCAACCACCACTTGCATTGCATAACACTTGAAAGGTTGAGAGTGTTTGATTCCTTCTCTCGCTGATGCGACGAAAAATACAAGTACTTCTGATTCTGTTTGTCGCGGCGGAAAACGATAATAATAGTTCTTTTGTGAGTACGAAAAGTCGACCTCAAGGTCGAGGAAGAAAGGGACTGGTGGCCCTTCTCGCGGTAGAAAGTTCTTCGTACAAATATAATGAAATAACCCCGCCACGCCGGCGGCGGAAAAGAGTGTGTGTAGTGTGGTGTGAGGCACAAGTTGGGTGTGGCCTTGGTGTGGCGATATTTTCTTTTCAAAAAACGAACATATACATGCTCGTGAACCGTGTGACCCTGGCTGACACGTCAAAGACTTGCTACATTATCCAGCATACACCGAAAGGTGCGTCTAGACTGGTGCCATTAAAATCTAGATGCTGCCGAAGCCTGCTGCTGCAGTGGTAGTAGTATCTCTCTGCACAACACATCAGCTCAATCAATCGTCATCATCAAAAATCCTCGTAGGTTCTTCGATGTGTGAGATACCACTCACTGAAAAGACTCCACCACATCCCGTTCGACTGTGGGTATATCTCGAATCGGTAGTCTTTCTGTGTGTGTGTGTATTTATTATTATTATTCCTTAATACTCTGAATACCCAACACACCCACCCGCTCTATCTTCAATGCGCCACTTGGTATTTTTTTTTTTTTTTTTGCAGTCTAGCATACCACCTAGCATACAGACATATTGTAGTAGTAACACATCCGGACCCACGTGTGGGAGGGGCGATAGAGCCCGCGTCTGAAATAAATCTAAAAATCCTTGGGTCGTCTCCGTTTTTCATAAAAAAAGAATTTTGCTCTTATATAAAGCATATAATATATTATATATATATTTTTTTTCTTAGTATGACACAACGAATCCATCTTTATCTATTTTGGTTGTGTTCCTCCGGCACCCGCCCCATCTTTTTCCGTCCTCGGTATTTCCCCCCATCGTCGCGTGCCGAACTACTTGTCGACACTTTTGTAAGAATGACACGACCCTTTGTTTGGCATACGAGAATACAGTGAGAAGAAGCACCGGAATTGTTTATTGATTGGTGCAGACAAAGCAGGCAAGACAGGGAAGAGCAGAGACAGACAGACAGCGAACGGACCCGCCCCCTCAATCTCATCCGCTGAGCCCCCCTGGGAAGACTATTATGCGCTACCAACGCACCTGCTGCCGCGGTGCCGTTGTCACGAAATAGTGGTTAAGCTGGGAGATCTGGCAAGCCCAGCAAGTCCCTTGGAGGGTCGATGAAGATGGCCAGAGGCGAGGTGAGGCTGGCGATGGGTGCACGGTTGATGTTGGCTCAATTTTGAGGTTTTGGGCCCCGGTGAACCTGGTGAGCAGGTCACGCCCTTCTAGCAGAGAGTGAAGGTGTTCAACACATCAGCAGACACCGCTCAGAATGCTCTGCTGTGAAGTTGCAGGAAATGCGATGTTCTAGCCTCTGGGACTACGCGCTGCTTTTATGCGTGCTCGCGCGTCACAGGTAGCCTTCGCCATTCTCGACAGGTATGAGAGAGGCAGCAGTATCAAGAGGCCATCGAAGTAGATAGTTGAGGTCTAGTGCGAACCAAATGTGTTTTCGGCGTCGGCTTTTTAGTTGTGTGCTGGCGCGACGATTCAGCCGCCCATCTCCACTGCAGCAAGTCTCACTGCTGTGCCGCTGCTCCTCCCTCCCTGCTACGCTCCTCTTGGCCTTGCGCGTCATCTGGCCCCGTCTCATGTACTCAAGTCCTCCCTCCGAATGCCGAAGGTGGGTCTTCCTTGCTTGCATCTGTCACGCACATGTGTGATCCAATTTATTCTTTTCCTTTCGCTCCCCGTTAATACTGCTGTACCATCTGCTAGTTTAGTACTCCTTGAGCCACTGGCAAGTTCAGTGATTTTCGAAGACATCCCGGCACGTAGATAGAAGTTGCACCTCTCAGCGGGACAAGGCGGGGGGGGTGGCGGGGTACACTGACGTGCGCGTTTTATTCTGAAAGTCGACCACGTGTGGATGGTTGGTTGTTTTATGCTTCTTCAGTCCCTTGGAGGAGGGCTCCCGAATGCTCTCTTGCTTGCAACACATGGCATTAGGAAAAGGCAGACCATGTATATATACATGCCCCGTACTCGAAGGGAGATTAATTGATTATCAAAGGTTGATCGATAAGCTGCTGCCGTACAGTCTGTCGCAAGCTTTTGTGGGACGCACGTCGCCCATGCTTTCCTAGAACAATAAAAAGTACTTGTTTATACTCCTTTGTATGCGTGCAAAGAGGAGACAACCCGTTCGTTGCCCTGCCGACATGCCGACCGACCAATGCCCCGCTTGCAAACGCCCCGCTCGCAAACACCCCGCTCCCACCCGGCCACAGGAGGCGACCTGCGACGTCGAGTGTGCCATGAAGGTAGAGGAGATTCGCATCATGAGCAAGAAGCGCAAGCAGTCTCAGCGGGTCGGCGGCGGCAACGGGGCCTTGGCCTCCGAAGAGGGCGCGAATATCAGCGCAAAGGCGGCCAAGCGGCCCTTGTCGAACAGTAACGGCTGCGGGGCGGGTACGCAGTCCGCGAAGAGCGGCGGCGGCGGCGGCGGCGGCTCCGTGCCTCCTCCTGCGGACCAATTTTCGGCGGCCTCCGCGGGAGTGGCGGCGCCGAACCTATCGAAGGCGTCTTCGGCTTCGGCGGCCGGCGGCGGCGGCGGCGGCGGCGGCGGCGGCGGCGGCGGCGGCGGCAAGGACTCCAAACACGCCGCCTCTCGCCGGCGGTTCGTCTGGTCCGTGCCCCTGCACCAGGACTTCGTGGCGGCGGTCTTTGACGTTGGGCTCAAGTGCGCGTCGCCCAAGCTCCTCCTGGAGATGATGCCCGTGGTGGACGGGCTCACCTCCGAGCACATCAAGAGCCACCTACAGAAGTACCGCCTGCACAGGCAGCGCTCCCGGGAGGAGTTCCTAAAGAGCTACAACTACCTCACCGACCTGGACGGCGGCAAGAGCCTGGGCGGGGGCTCGGCGGCCGCCACCGTTGCCAAGGCCGCGGCAGCGGCCGCGGGCGGCGGCGGCGGCGACGACGTTAAAGACTTTTCGCCCGGGCGCGGGCGGGACGCGGAGACTCCGGAGTGTGGGTCGAGTTGCGACTGCGTTGACACGTCCAAACTCAGCGGGGGCAGCGGGATCGGGGGCGGCAGCAACAGTCTCGCCGAAACGGACGGGAGAGGGGAGGCGGCGCGCTCAAAATCGACGACGGGGTTTGCGCAGGCTGCGAGCGGGGACGAAGGTGCCAAGGGGAGCGGGGGCGGCGCCAAGGCGAGCGCGCAGCTGGCCGGAGGCGGGACGGAGGCGGTCGGCGGGGCGCAGCGGCTGCAGCTGCCCGGGGAGGCGGCGGCGGGGGAGGTGGTCAACGGCGCGCTGCTCCTGTCGCACCTGGAGCTCCTCGCCAAAGGGATCGACATGCAGGTCAAGTTCCACAACCACCTGCGGGAGGTGGTCGAGAGCCAGCAGCAGCTGCAGGCCCAGCTCGTGAGACAACAGGGCAGGGAGCACGTCCCCCAGCACCCGGCCGAGTTTTCCGGCGGCGGCGGCGGCGGCGGCAGGATGCCGAGGGCGTTCTCGTCTAGCGCCGCGGGGACCACCACCGCGACTGCGGCTTCAGCCGTCGGCTTTTGTCCGCCGTCGGACTTGCAGTACGCGGGCAGCATCGTCGGCGCAGAGGGCAACATCCGGGTGCCGAAAGAAGTGCACCTGGTTGGCGGCGGCTGCGGCAGCGGGGTGTCCACGGCTGGATACAGCAGCAATCTCTCGGATTCGAGCAGCCTGGTGTGGTCGGGTGGAGGGGAAGACAAGCTTGCCGGCTCGCCCAAGGAAGCGGAACAGGGGGGCAGAGGTGCCGCCGCAGCGGAACGACCGAGACGAAGAGAACGGCCGGGCGTGCTGAACCACGCGGGGGCGTCGCAGCTAGAAGGGGCTGCGGCGGCCGATGTTTCGATGGACTCCGCTCGCGCCGCCGCTTCCAAGGCCCGCCCGAGCGTCGCCGACCACATGCGCGGGGACGGGACGGGTGAGCGTCTCGGCGATGGGCAACAGCAACAGCAGTTCGACCCGGCAGCAATGCGAGAGGCGTTTTCTGTGCAGGCGGTCGCGGGGAGGGTGGTGGCTCCTTCCCATTCTCAGGGCCTGTCGGGCCGCCAGGGAGCGGGCTTAGCACCGCCCCGGGGATACATGGCCGGAGACTACACGCTAACGCCCAAAGCCCCGGAGGACGGCGGTTCAGGTAGGCTAGCCCCCCACGCTCGCGGGCAGCCGGCGGTGTTAGGGGCGGAGTTGTTGGCCGGAGAGGGGGCGTTAGGGGCCCACAAGTCGATCTTTGCGGCGCGTAGCCCGGCGGAAGCCCGGGTTGCCTTGGCCTCCGCCACCCTTGCCCCGGTGACCTCGACCGGCAACGCGAGCAACGGGCAGGAGACGCTGACGCTGCAGCGACACATGCAGGCGCAGATGTCGATGCAGCAGAGCATGCTCTCGGCGTGCAACGACCAGGCGACTAACTTCGGCCAGCGCGGGTGGTGCGGGGGAGGGGGGCCGCCGGCAGCGGCGGCGGCGGCGGTGGCCACTCCTGCGTTCGGCGAGGCGGGCGGCGGCGCGCTCCGCGGCGGTAGTGGAGCGGGGAAGGAGGGCGGTGGGAACGGTGATGGGGCGGGGGCAGACCTGGGGAACAGCAAGGAGCAGCAGCGCCTCGATTCGCTGTCCCTGCAACCCTCCGATGCGGGGGACCCCTCGGCGATGATGGGCCTCCTCCCCCAAGACGACATGTTTGACTTCGGCATGCTCGACCGCGAGGGTGAGTTGAAGTCGGCGCTTGGAGACAGTACCCCTCCCGGCCCCCCAGTGGCTCGGCCTAACGGGGACGAGCACTCGACCCTGTTTTCGTTCTTGATGGAATAGTTCTAAGGGAAGGCCCGTCGTCTTGTTGCTTTACCTCACGATGTTTTTTTTTTTTTTGAGTGTCCTGTTTAGTTTTGCGCGCCTTTCTCGTCCCCGAGAGTAAATTGAGGATCTTTACGGTGCACAAGGCGCTTGTGGCGCATACCCAATGGGTGGGGCTGCGCTACGTTAGTAGCAAGGACGTGTGATGTTTTGTGGAAAAAGTTCGGGCTCATTCATCTCAAGAGCCAGGTTACCTTTTAGTCGATACAGCCGCATGATGGAGGAGTGAACGTAAGCAAAAGGATCCTTTTTCTCCGGCCTGCCGGAAAGAAAAAAAAAAAGACCAGAAAAGGACAATTGACACATGTAGAATATTATTCTTGACCGATCGTCTCGTAGCTGAGCGTGTAGTGCCAAGCCCCCCCGGTGTTGCCACGTTGTGGTGCCCATCGTGTGACGTGCGACCCTTTAATTGTCTAGAAGCAGAGTAGACCCCTTGGTGGTTGTTTAGAGGCGAGCTTCCCATGCCGTAAAGGCCTCATGTTTGTAGGCTTCGTTTTAGGGGGTTCGCTTACGGGTGAGCGCCAGCATGTCGACGCGGCGCGCGATTTTCCCCCCCTTCTCCCAATTTTTTTCGTGAGAACAGCCCCCTTCGCATGTTTTGTATTTGTAGTGCGCATTAGAGTTTACTTGGGCGAGGGGTAGAGGGTGGGTGCTTTCGTTGAATCCCTTCGCTTCTCCAGGCGTTGCGTGGTTGTTTGTGTAGTTGCCAGGGGCGATAACGCGCGCCCATGCCACGATCGTCACTCGTGTAAGTACTCATTTTATTATTTTGTGGCTAGTCGGGGCATCGCGAATCGAGCGTCTTGAGTTTACATTTTTTTAGTATGTTTCCCGAACACTCACAAAGAAAACGGTGTCGTCGGTTGATCATAGAACCAAATTGCCGGGGGTGGAGAACTGCAGTCCGCGAGCCCTCGTCCGGTTTGTTCATTTTCTAGTGTTAAGATACGATTTCTGGTTGCAGTGAACGTGCTTACCGTATATGACACAAGATAACACACCCCCTTGGCCGATTTTCAAAGCTCGATTTCTCAACAGCAGGAAGAGTCACAGCGCCGAAAACGGCGGCGTTGGAACCGTCTCGTCGAGAGCTGTTCGAAAACGTATTGTTTCATTTATGCATCCTCTTCGTCGTGGAGTAATCGAGCTTTGAAAATCGGTCCAGGGGGTGTGTTATCTTGTGTCATATACGGTACTTGCGTCAACGCCAAAAGCAGGCCGTTGTTGTCAACAGGACGATGGAGCAACTTATGCCGAGAGGGGATATGTCGAATCAAGCTGTTGAAGAAGTCGATTTTCCTGATATTAAGAGTCACGAGAAAACGTGTAGAATTGTAGGTATATACATAGCTGCCGCGGCTTTTGAGCTGATGATGTGTTTCGCCTCGGCTCAGTGGAGTGACGATGGTTAGACGTCGTCTGTTTTCGCTGATGGGTGGGTCTTATCGTTGCGCGCTAAATGTATACGCACGTTTTTTTTGTTTGATGTGTCTCATCGTTGGGCGTAAAGCAGGTGGTGGGTGGCTCTCGGCCCGATAGTTTTTTTGTTGTTTTGCGCCAGGGGTGATCGGGTCGACAACGACCCCGCAGGCAGCATTTAAGTGCTTGCGCACAGCACACAAAGGACGCCCGTGGCTATGGTTGCATCGTGTTGCTTTTAAGCAAGCATTGCGCGATGCGTATTCTCACTGCATGCATGTGGCGTTGCTGTTATGGTTTTGATTTGCTTTTCTTCATTAACGGAGTGAATGTTATGCCGACTCGGGGGAGGATTACCCACACATCGATACGTGCGTGTGGTCTTGGGGGGGATTTTTATTTTTGTCTTCACTTCAAATCAGCGCTCACGGCATTCTTTGTGCCGTTTATCTCCCATCCCGTGGCCACATAGAAGCCCCCCCCCCCCCCCTACTTACCCCTCTTGCGGTGCTTTGCCTTCGATCTTTATTGCGAGA